TGTGTGTGTGTGTGTGTGTGTGTGTGTGTATGAGAAAGAGCAAATGTACCAGTAAAGTTTTGCTGTTACTTTAAATTCACTGGGTCTCCGTGTATTACAAAGAACCTCTTGTGCCTCAGTGTTCGATTAGAAGTGATTTGTGTGTATCCCTAATTATTTCTCCGCTGTTGACCAGGGCTATGTGTCTGTCTGCTCCAGCCGCACCTATCTGGAAACCCAGGTAGAAAACAAGGGGGGCTGACAAGATCTGCCTGCCTCAACAGGCTGTGAGTGTGTGAGTGAATGACCATAAGCCGAACCTGGGAGCAGCGTGTGTAACATTTGTAGTACTGGAATACGTTTTGTATACAGTACATTACAAACAACTTCTAATTTAAATATTTCCCCTTAATTTACTATTTCTAGTCTATTTAGCAAGAAATAATAGGTTGAGCTAAGCTCATTCTTAGTAGTGACTTACTACTAAGCAGTTCAGTGTGTAGACCAACAGAGTGTGAGACTGAGATTGCAACTGCTTTTAAAATCATGCTTAAAAATTGTTCACTAACTTTTTAGAACCAGGGATATATTCTATAGTCTCAAGCAAATTTATTTATGAGATTAATATCACTTCCCAGTAAATATGCTCAGAGGTTATGCAGCTACAGGCCTATGTAACTTATACCTATCTGTAAGTTTTCTTTTTTTCTTTCTTTCTTCTCAGACTGTACTCCGTCCTCTTCAAGCTCTTTGTGCTTTCCAGATCCAGCATGGTGCCCAGGTCCATCACAGCAAGGAACATCTTCTTAAGAATGGTTTATATGACAAACCAATGCCAAAAAATAAACGCAAGCTCAGGAGAATGGAACTTTTAGTGAATAATGTTAAAATTTAGGAGTGCCATATAGATTTAGTATTAAAGATTTGTATTCCTTTTAGCTAATGAAGTGGAGTTGATTATAGGTTTCATCCAAATAATCATCTCCTAAAATGAAAAAAATTCATGTGGCTCTCTGCCCATTGTTCAAGGATGATACAAAAACAAAATGCCTGGGAAGCTTTGTTGTATACCATCCAGAGTCGCCTGTGGTGAGATGGGCAGCTATATAAATTGATTTAATAAATAAATAAATTTCTGCTTGCATTTTTCAAGACAATGATAATGATAAAGATGCAGCAAGAAAGAATATACCATTTCTTTCTTTTTTATTTTTATTTTTTTGCTTTGACTTTAAAGAGTAATAATGAAACCATAATTTGAATTTTTCCCCTTAATTTCTTATTAAAGTGGACATATGTAATATAAATATTGATGTGGCAGGTGTATATTGGTACTGTAAGTCATGGAAATCTTTGTAGACACAAAAATCCAGAATACCTGCTTTCTTAACTTAAATAACAGTTAACAACTTGTTTTGAAATAAGTGTATTTTGGGGCCTAGGTTTCCTGTATCATTAAAGCCTGGCAAAAAACAGACATTTTAATCTTAAAACAGTAAGCAAAAAAAGAATATGGGACATCCTGCTTTTTCTATGAGACTACTAACAGACCATGGCAACTGAATACATGAAAGCACAAACTTTTATAGACATAGCTTGCTGGATTATGGTGATTACATTCTATTTTTTTCTTGGTGGCATTGTTTTGTTTATGTCAGAAGATTATATTTTTATATAGATAGTACATTTTTATCCATGTTCAGGACTGTTGTAACATAAATTAAAAATTAAGAAGATGAAAAATAATGTCTTGAGTCAATATTATATATCTATCCACGTAGTTTGTCTAGATAGAAATGAAATCAATACTTCTGAGATTATAAATTGCAAGTAAAAACTGCTAGTTTTGACAGAGAGCATTGCTGTTGTAGATAGACCTAGATGGAACATTTATACCTGGGAAGTCACTAGCAATTAGGCTTTGTTTGTATTGATGAGAATGGTACCATTTATTCTGCCTTATTTCAGACTCAGTAAAGCATAACTCCATTATTCTATTCTGACATTTATCTTCATTATCAGGAAGACTACTTTTTTTTTTTAAGGTAAGGATCTTTAAGTTCTGAAAAAGGAAATTTTTATACCTTAAATGCAAGCCAACTGACAAGCATCTTGGAACAACAGAGCTTTGTCAGTTCCAGCCAGTGAACATTCTTCTTCAGACTTGCGAGGTCCAACCCCAAGCTCTCTCACAGTAGAGGAATGATTGACACCACCAATAAACCTCCAAGCAGTCTATCCAGTCTATTCATTATAATTGCAACAAACACTTGTGTCATATTAGATATTTCTGCAGTTGAAACTCTAGGTCACCAATGTGATGCCCATGCTCACAGACACTTCCACTGGCACCTCTCAAGTCCTAACTTCACCTGATTTTGTTCTACACTTTTTTAACTTAAAAAAATAAATGGGAAGATGACCTGCTGCAAAGCACCGATTTGCAGCTTTGACTATTTCCAAGAATATTGCTGGGTCCAATAAATGATTTGTAGGCATTGCAAGAAATTAAAAATGGTGGTGGCTTCAGTCCAGTGCTTAGAAGTTTGCCCATCTTCCCTGAAAAAAAGAAAAGAAAAACAAAGGCATGCTGAGTAGTTGAAAGCATCTGTTGGAGAAAATGGGCATAGCATGGAATGACCTCACCAGTTTGCTGTCTGCTAGGTATATATTTTATAAGCCATTTTGTGGGAATAACCATGGAGTGTTTTCAGAGGTTCAAATGTATCCACTGGCCCCAAAAGTTTAGGAACCCTAACACTATAGGGACTGACCTATGACGTTGATCATATCTTTTAATATTTCTAGAATCAGTGAATAGAGGATTTAAATGCATTCATTAAAGTTATTTAGGTTTTCTAGCATTTGAGCTATTGCAGTAGACCTAGAGGCATGTCAAAAACAATTTGATATAACATTGTTATGCTTTCATGTATATAAAAGCAGTCCTGTAATGTTTAATGATTACAGAACAATAAGTAACAGAATTACTGTTTCTCTAACTAACATAGCTGCAACAAAAAATAACACAAAGTAATTAAGCATGCATTTTGTCTGAAGGTTTTGGTTCATGTAGGAGAATATGAAGCAGAAAATTAGCTAGGCCAGCTGATCTTGAAGACTGCTATTGGATCCTTTTAGTAAATTGTTAATTAGAATAGATTATACATCTGTTTTAATTGAAGATATGTATGTGCAGCATACTGTTAACACATGGAAGACATGCTGTGATACTTTCTATATTGATCTGCCACTAAAAGCAAATTCAGAATTTAAGTTGGTAGAGGTAAAAGTGTACAAGTTGCACTGGTTATTTTGTCACTTCTAGGCTTGGTGTAACATTTTGTTTTCAATCTTTAAAGCCCCAAATAGTATGAGGGGATATTACTAATATTACCTCTATCCAGATAGATTATCATGCATGTCCCTAAATCCCATTCAAGAAAAAGATTTTAAATATATATATGTCGGTGTGTTCATGTGCATATTAAGGAACGATTGTACATTTTTAGGGATTTGGTGAAGAGGTGTATCTACAAGGGATCAAAAACATCATCTGCACTTTTCCTGTAATAAAACTGGTCTTGCACGCCAGTCTATCTTATTAAATCCGTGCTGCAGCATTCCACAGGCTCAAAGGATGACAAGTTCAAAATATTAAGCATCAAGTTCAAAGCACTTTTCTAATAAGAACCATATAAAAATACTGGCATCTTATTCTAGCACAGTTTTGTCATGAGCGTTTTAGAAGAGACCATTTTTCACATTGATTCAGACTGCCCCTTCTGATTTGTGGCAAATAACAACTGGATATAAATAAATGCCTCTTCCATGATATGTGTGGCTGTGTGTTTTAGACTGAAGAAAATTATTGTCATTTCCTTGAACAAGTGTGCTTGATTAAGGAGTTTAGGAGACAAAATATGTTTGCAGAATTTTTCTGCAGAGTAGTTCTTGTTAACATTGCTGGTTTCTACATGAAAATACCTAATGCATTATTCAGAGAAAGCAGAAGCAAATGCTGAATGACCCAGGGATTCCAAAGATAAAGTTATGTTGGAACCAAAACAACTATGTAAAATGCATGATAAGACCTAATGCTCAATTTTAAATTTTAATTGGTTTGGTCTCAGAAGACAAGTGGAGGTACGGTTAGTGTACATTCTCAAAAAGCATTTTGGCATGCTACCTATTACAGCTATTTTAAGTAACCAGCTCTAAAGGAATTCAGGGGAATGCATTTACTTAACGTGTAGTGGTAGCAAGCGGTAACTTGACATGAATAGAGGAACAAAGCAAATCTCAATTTATAGAGCTAAGGGTGATTTTCACACTTGGCAGTCAGGAGTGTTGTTTAAGAAAATCTTCTTTACCTCATGCTTGAAATATCCAAGTGCCTCTATTTCTCTGAAGACATGGATTTGATGGTTCTGCTGTGGGGAGCAATCATAGCAGAACAGAAGCTTTGCGTAAGAAACATTACCAGTCCAGTCTCTGCTATATCCAGGTAGGGCTGGGAGTTGATATCTGTCACTGAGGATCAATCTTTCTAAACATTTCAAAACCTGGAATATAAGAAAAGAATGAAAATGTCAGTCCTGCCTTGTCTGAGGCCATCACTGCCATATGCCCAGGTGGGAAAAGAATAAACTGGCAACTGTCCAAAAAAAGTTGCCTGCTTTTTTTTTTAATGGCCTTTTAAAAACCCATTTAACAAAGACAACGCGATAGTTGCTGTTTTTAGAAACGTGTCTTTAATGTGCTTCCTTAAATTGAGGTATTACATGTATTCTAAATTCCAACATTATTCTGTATATACACCACACACACACACAAACACACATTTTACAAAAACTTAAATAAAAATGGAAAGAAATTTTAAAAACATACAAAAATTCCAAGTAAAAATAATAATAAACTGAACAAAGTTGTTTATAATCTTTGTGTATTACAAACTATAGATATCATGTATCCATTAAATATTAATATTTTAAAGTTTCTAAAAATAATAATCTGTTGTTGTAAAATGTAATAAACTCTGTGCCAAAAGGAAATGTATTGCATCAGTTTTTATTAGATAAACTTGCCTTTTCAAAAATAGAAATTACACATCTCTTAAATCCAGTCCTTAATATCAGGAATAATGCTACTTTTGTAATTTTTCAAAATATCTCTTAGGAATACTCCACACCTATTATAACCACAATACCTCAAAAATAGTCAAATTCTAAAGTTTGGGATATAATTTAGCATAACATTAACATCTTTAACATTAAAGATAGATCTATATCCATAGATCTATTTATATGTGTTAAAATATTATTTCAGAAACATGTCAATGACTCACAAAACCAAATCTTATGAGGCAATGACCTCCAAACTTTTTATATCGCCAACAACAAAAATCTTACATCTATTCTTTCAAATACATTTTTGAAGTTTCAAGTAGCCTTGAAATAGAATCTTGATTAATCAATTTTTGTCTTAAAATTCAAAGAAATCAGTCTGACAATTTTTCAGTTGATGTTCCATTACTGGTATCAGATGTTTCAATTCTTTAGTCTACAAGCTATAAATGTCATTAATATTAACTTTTTAAAAATTGATACAATTATGATAAGGGTTTAATTTGACTCCATTAAGGATGAAAGCATCTTTGGAAACAACCAAAGCGTCTAGTCCATATTGAGCTGTCCAGATGTGGCTGACTTGATTATATTGTCGCTGTTGTGAATTAGGGATGCAAAATTCTGTTTGCAGCTGAAAAAATCTTTAAAATGATAATTGATCACTGTGTGCACTGAAAGTATGTGCATGAATGTTGCTATCCTTAGCAACCCTGTAACCTCAATGACTCAGCCTTCTGATTTGCTGATTTTTCCCCCCTAGTTATTTTAGCTACTGCATACAGATGTATGGTTGGACTTCAGAGTATTTAAGAAGAAACTCTATTGACTTTAACAGGCTATTATATAATACCTGTCAAAAGCTGGCATTAAAGAAATATATGGGAGTTCAGGTCAAAGAAACTTATCTCTTTAGTTCATTAAAACATCTAACACTATCAGCACAAAGCTGGAAGTTTAATGGGGTCATATCAAACCCCAGCTCTGCTCAATCCAAAATTTAGTGACTATTTGTCTCACATTGTTCCTTACCTGACAGTAAAATGTTTACAACTCTTGTACTATACAAATTAATCATAGCATCTTGCCAGAGGCTCAATGCAAGGCACCTGCATATTTCCTGATTTTTTTAATGTAGTTCTAGATAATTTTATATGATATGCCCTTTGTGTACAGATAATAACTATTACATGTATTTCAAACTGTATATCATTTTGACACATATCAAGTTTCTTTTCTAAAAATATCCACCATTTGCGAGAAAGGCTCTGTGTTATGGGTTACCACAGGACATGATCAGAGAAAAGGCAAATTTGACATATCAGAAAAAAGTAGGTACAAGAGCTACTGAACACTGCAGGATTTCAGCACAGGTTTGGTAAATTACTAATTCAGGTATAGCAATAGAAAATGGCATTTGGATAAAGAGTGCTTTATTCCTTTTCTATAGGCCCTTCAGATTGTGCTAGGAAGCAACTGAAGCAGGAAGTAAGCTATGCCATTTTTTCCCCATTCTTAATGATATACTCTTGAGTCTTTGTATACTATTCTGACACTGAAAGGTAATAGACAATCCTTCTCCTGCCATAGGAATAAATGATGGTTTGGAGGTAGGGAGAG